CGCTCCTGCTTCGGCCGCCAGATCACCACTTCAGAGAAGACGACTCATTGGTTTCAGCTGAGCTCAGAAGAAACCTTCTTTATGCACCATGATCTTCAAGCCTTAACAGTCATAACCGAGACCGAGAGGCCTCTAAATGAACTGGAGTTATGGAACCATATGAAAGGTAGGAAAACAGCATTTCCAGAGCTCTACATGGCATACACTCATCTCAGAAGGAAGAATTGGGTGGTTCGAAGTGGAACTCAATATGGTGTGGATTTTGTGGCTTATAGGCATCACCCAGCTCTTGTGCATTCCGACTATGCTGTGATTGTTCTACAGGAAGGTGATGGCGATGTCCAGCAGAATGCAAGGCTGAGGAGTTGGTCGGATTTGCAGTGTAGTCTTCGAGTGAGTGGAAGTGTGGCGAAGACATTGCTTGTTCTTTTTGTAGACAGGAATGGAAGTGATACAGCCGTCCCTTCTTGTCTGCAACAATTCAGTGTTGAGGAGAGAACGATCACTAGATGGGTTGCAGAGCAATGCAGGGAGGAGGATTGCTTGGAGAAGGATTGTAAGAATGTGGTGAATGAGTGAGGCATGGAAATCAATGTTGTTTTGTTGTTTTTTATTGTTGTATTGTTTTATTAATAGGTTTCATCTTATAATATTGTTGGATGTCTAGTATTGAGCATTTTGTTGCAATATTAACAACAATGATGATTTATTGTTTCATCTCTTTGTGATATTACTTTTAGATTTGCATTTGAGTAATAAGCCAACCTAATAAATTGTTTTTCTAAGGCAGTGTTTGGTAGCATATTATTAATAGGATTTTCCAGCCAATCACCAAAAAAACTGAACATTAAATCCAATTTTCTCATTTCTATCTATTTTTTCTCAGGTTTTGTCTTCTTCCCGACGAAAATAAGGGTTTATTAAATCCGACTACCTCGGATTTATTTCAGAAAATCCTGATTTATCGGTTTTGATAAATCCTGCTTAACTTAAATTTAAGTTGTGGCCAAACATCGTCTTAGAGAAACAATCTGGCATCAATCACTCAGAAGCACCCCAAGTCATTAGTGAACTTTAATCTGAGAGGAAGAAAGAAGAACCACAAGACCAGCTACCTGACATGACAAAGTAAGCATGTTGTGTGTTAAACTGCTCATGGTTAGAGAGAGTTTATATATTTAGTGTTGTGTAAAACTTTTTACACACATAAAATAAGTTGAGAGCAATACATACGGAACAGAACTTTTGATATGAAGAATCTAAAAAGAAAAAAGGCTATTAAGACTAATCTTCCTAAAACAATTCCACTATATTAGTTCAAAATT